ACCTCTTTTGCCATTTGGGTTAGGCTATTTTTCAAGGTTATTTTCTTCAGTATTTTTTTGGGTCTCTTTTAGCAAGCTGTTAACTTGCTTTTCATGATTTTCTTGCATCACTCTCATTTCTCTTCCCAGTTTTTCCTCTACTTCTCTTACTTGCTTCTCAAAATCCCTTTTGAACTCTTCCAAGGCCTGGGACTGATTCATATTTTTCTTGGAAGTTTTGGATATAGGAGCTTTGACTTTGTTTTCTTCTTCTGGTTGTATGTTTTGATCTTCTTTGTCACCAAAGTAAGATAATATAGTCTGACTCTTTTTGCGCTGCTTGCTCATGATCCCAACCAATTACTTGAGTTTTAAACTCTTTGTTAAGGTAAGAGTCAGTTTCCAATGTGGAGAATGTACTGTCCCAAGCTTCGGGGGTTTGTACAGCTGTTTTCAGAGATACATCTAGGGACCTGAAAAGTGTCAGTTCTTCCAAGGTGCTATGATAAGGGGCGAGGTGTTTCCTCTCCACAGCCACAACAAGCTCCACCACAGCAGCACTCCTCCTGCCCCAGGACCACCCCTCGGAACTGTGACCCAGATCCAAGCACGGGCAAAGCAAGAGATTCCTGCCTCAGCACTGGCAAAGAGATCCTTGCAATCCCCCTCTGATCAGCCATCCAGGTTGTCTTGGGCTGGAAATTTGTTTTACTCTGTTTTTTTGTGGGTTCTGCTGCTTTAGAATTTGTTTAGAGTCATTTTTTGTAGGTATTTGGAGGGGTTTGGGGGAGAGCTCTAGCAAGTCACTGCTTTCCCTCTGCCATCTTCTAAAGCTCTTGGGTTTTAAATCACTTTCTCTTTCCAAGTGCTACTCTAAGCTACCTGTTGATCATTTTCCTACTGGGGTAGCCACAAATATCACTTGAAAAACTTCTGAGTGACTTGTTGAGATATTTGAGCCAGTTGAATTGGTAACTAAAATATTTTAGCAATTCAGGAGTATGCATAGAAGTTCATGAGGAATTAAGGAATTTCAGATGGGGTCAGTTTGAAGGCACAAGTCTTACAGGAAGACACAAACAGTGTTTTTGCACGTTGGCAAAAATGAAAGGGCTTGGGGAAGTATTTACCGCAAACTGGGTCTCAATACACATAGTAATTTGACCCACTATAGGCCTGAAATTCATTATAACGTAGACCCAGGGCTAGTTCTAGCCAAGGGACATAGGTATGACTGGAGGGGTGTCTCGGGGCCCTGACTGCCTAAACATAGATTTATTATATCTAAATATTGATATAAATTTTCACCACTGAAGTTCCTTGTCTTCAGAAAATCACTGTTAAAATATATATTACCTAACATGTTAACACCTCTGAACACATGGATTAGTGAATCAGATTTATCACCCATAACCTTGAAATACAGATTTCCAGAGCCCCTATGAGGTGAGGAACCTTCTGAAGGAGTCAGGAATACACCAGAGAATAAGGAGAAGTTCTTCAATGTAAGGGGTGGGTGGGTGCCAGAAAAAGAAGTAGGGAGTACCAGAGACCATTTTGCACGGCCAGCATGGGTCCATTTGGGGCCCCATTAAAGAAGATTTATAGTTCCAAGGACAGGAAAAACTTCACCCACAATAAATATTCATTGCGGGAACCCCAAGGTTAGTCATGTAACAAGGCTTCAGTGTATTCTTTCACAGTTTTATGTGGCATCTCATAGTAAGGAAATTCATCTAAACCTGAACTAAAACAAGATTTAACCCCTCCTCCCTGTTACCTTTCAAGTCAGTAAAATACCCCTCCTAAGCTCATTTCCCTAAACCAAACTAACACTAGAAGGTTGGGTCCCCAGATGAGTAGTTGCTGCTACTCTCCACATTCTAGCAGGTAACCTTGTGGGTAGCTATCCTCTAAACATTATAGTTCATAAGCCCTCACTAGTATGTTTCCCCTTAACAATCAGCCAGTAGACAGTTCTTGGCAAAAGCTTTTACTCAAATGGCATAGTAGAATAGTAGTTGCAAAATACTCCCTCCAAAAATCTATGGCATACTCTCCCACAAATATCCAGAGTCCATGAGAGGAAAAGTGGCATGAACTTAAAGCATGACGGTAGTGAGGCACACATATAGGAAAGACACATAGCCAAGGCAATTTACAACTCTGGAAATGCAAGACTTCCTTTCCCCAGAAGGTAGGTTCTCATGAAGTACAATGCCAGGGATGGCATTGAGGATGGACAACTCATTCCATTGCTCAGCTGGGCTGGCTCTTCACGGAATGATGTCAGAGCCAGATGGACCAATCAGTTGCTGGGCTGGGTCAGGCTTGTATGGTGGATTCTGAGATAGTTCCTTCCACATTTCCTATTGGCGGGGGAGAAAGAGTCTGGTGAAGATGAGTGGCTAACAGATAAAGGTATGAATGCAAGTCTGTGTCCTGGAGGCAAGTTCCTTGTACCCCGGGCTTCTTCTCACACAATTGAGCTTCAGTCCCTTTCTAATGGATGGGATGTTTCCTTTGCATCTGAAGGCCTTTTCTTTCCCATGTCAGTGTTTAGTTTAGCCCCTTTGACCATGAATATGAATATTTATTTTGTCTTTGTTTCTCTCAGTAGAAACTGCTTGAACATTCTTTCTCTCTTCTCTTTTCTCTCCCACCCTTCACCCCCTTTTGGCTCAATCAAACCAGTCTGACCCATTATTATTTTATTCTGGAATAATTTTGGTCACTTGACCCAAACTGAAAATGAATGAAAAATAAATTCAACTGCCAAGAACGAAGAATCAGGATTTAGGGCTGGAAGAAGACTCTTTGGAAATCATCTTGTGCAGCTGGATAGGTTGGAGTCAGAAAAACTCATCTTTCTGAGTTCAAATCTGGCCTCAGACACTTACTAGCTCTGTGACCCTAGGCAAGTCACTTAACCCCGTTTACCTCAGTTTCCTCATTTGTAAAAATGAGCTGGAGAAAGAAATGGAAAAACACTCCAGTATCTGTACCAAGAAAACCCCGAACAGTGTCACCAAGAGATACAATTTTTTTGGAGGGGGGCTCGGCAATCGGGGTTAAGTGACTTGCCCAGGGTCACACAGCTAGTAAGTGTTCTATGCTTTTTTGTGTGTCCGAGACCGGATTTCAATTCAGGTCCTCCTGACTCCAAGACTGGAGCTCTATCCACTACGCCACCTAGCTGCCCCCCAAAAAATTTTTAAAAAAAACCTCACATTTTCACAGAGGCCCAGAGAGGGAGTCTGGTACAGTGAGAAGAGCATCGGCTCTGGTCTCAGAGAACCCGAGTTCGTATCCTACCACTTTCTGCGACGCTTATTATCCACGTGGCCTCCCTCAAATCCCTCAATCTCCCTGGACCTCTCTGTAAAGTGAGGAGTGGTCTCTACGTCCCTTCCTGCTCTAGAGCTGTGTATGATCCTATGACGTGCCTGATGTCTCACAAACTTCGAGGGTGGAGGGGGGAATTTCCCAAACCAAATCTAACTCCAAATCTAGTTCCATTTATTTAGCCTACAAAGTTCTCCCACAAATTGCTGGGGGGCGTCTTAATAAACTTGCAAGCGTTAGATTTCTGGTGTGAAATCCTAAAGGAGATTAGATATTGAGATTAAGAGGGATGAGGGTTTGGCTAATGACTGAAATAACGTCTTAGGTCACACTGACCAGGGTCAACAACCCAGGCGAAAATGGGATGTAAATAGAAAAGGAAATCTATCCTAAGTCACCCTGAATCAACAGCTGTCACTCCCCATTGTGCTGTTTTCCCTTATTTGGGCTTTAGGGCCAAATCGGAGACTTGCGCCCCGCCCTGCCTTCACAGGCAGGGACGCAGTGCCACGTCTCAGGTCTCTCGTCTTCACTTCTGTTATGTGGTTGACTCCTATTTCGTCCTCCCCCCCCTTCTTTTTATTATTGCTGCTGGGCATTGTGATGAGAATTTCTTTGAAGCCGCTATTAATGATCTTCTCCTGGAATTGAATAAAGAATATCTTAAAAAACAAAACAAAACAAAACAAAACAAAAAAACAGAAAAAGTTTGAGGGCAGAACGCGGCTGCCTCTGTAGATAACCCAAGATTTGCTGAGCGTGTCTTCGCTAGCGCAGCGGTTCGATGTCCGGCCTCCCGAAAGAAGGGGAGAGGGGCCCGGCCCTGGGGAAGCTTTGGCTGCGGGTTCCGAGGCTGGTCTCCCGGCCGATGCCCCCGCCGGCACCGTGGGGCCCGGGGGGAGCTGCCCTTAGGTCTGCTCTCGTTGCTGGGCAGCGGACACCGCGTCCCGCGTCCCGCAGGAAAGCTCTGCCCAGCATCTCAATTCATTCAGCCGGAAGCGCTCTGCATGAACTTGAACGAGATGAAGGCGCGCTGGGGAGAAAGGGGGTGCACGCAACCAGCCGGCCGGCGGGCCAAGCTCGGGGTGCGGCCGGGGGAGGGGGAGGGGGAGGAAGAGGGAGGTGGGGTGCTGGGGCGGCGGGAAGGGCGCACGTGCCCGGCGGGCTCCTGCAGCCCCGCCACGCCGACGCCGACTCCTCCTCCTCCTCCTCCTCCTCCTCCTCCTCCTTACTTCTCCTTTTCGCTCCTCCTCCTTTCCCCCTTCCTCCTCCTTCTCTGTCTCCTCCCCCGTCCCCTTCTTCCCTCCTCCTCCTCCTCCTCTTCCTTCCTCCTCTTCCCTCTACTCCTCTTTCCTCCTCCTCCTTCCCCTCCCCTGCCCCTCCTCTTCCCCTCCTCCCCTTTAACAGCCCAGGCGCAGTCGGATTTGTGTCGGCAGAGGCGCGCCTTTAAGGCGGTCTGACAGCTGCGGCCGCCGCTGCCGGGAGGCCCGCGGGAGGGGGGGGGGGGGGGGCGGCCTGCCGGGGAGGCGCGCGGGGGCGGGGGGGGCGCGCGGGGGCGGCCTGCCTGGGAGGCGCGCGGGGGCGCGCGGGGGCGGGCCGGGCGGCGGCGGCAGAGGGGGCGGGGAGCCCGGGCCGCCAGCGCTGGCTCGGGGTCCGCCTCTGACTGCGGCGGCGGCAGCGGCTCGCGGGGTTCGGCTCGGCTGGTTCGGCTCGCACGGCGGGGCGATGTGTGAGTGCCATGGCGAGGAGTCTCTGTGCGGGGGCCTGGCTCAGGAAACCCTACTACCTCCAGGTAGGCCAGCCTCCGCCGCGGCCGCCCCCCCCACCCCCGACCCTCCGGCCGCTGCCCCCTCCCCGGCCCCGCCCTCCTGCCCTCCCGTCTGTCTATCTGTCTGTCACCCGCTGGGCTGGGGGCTGGAACAGCACACCCCCGCTTCCCCCTCCTCTCTCGTGTGCCCCTCCTGCCCCGGGGACCCCCTCCTGCCCCGTGTCCCCCTTCTGCCCCGCGTCCCCCTCCTGCCCCGTGTCCCCCTTCTGCTCCGCGTCCCCCCTCCTGCCCCGGGGCCCCCTCTTGCCCCGGGACCCCCTCCTACTCCGTGTCTCCCATGCTGCCCCGCGTCCCCCCTTCTGCCCCGTGTCCCCCTTCTGCCCCTGGACCCCCTCCTGCCCCACATCCCCCTCCTGCACCAAACGTCTTCCCCCTCCTGCCCCGTGTCCCCGTCCTGCCCCTGACGTGTCCCCGCTCCGCCTCGTGTCTCGCCTCCTGCCCCGTGGCTCCCTCCTGCCCCGTGTCCTCCATCCTGCCCCGCGTCCCCCCTCCTACCCCAGACGTGTTCCCCCTCCTGCTCCGTGTCTCCCTCTCCTCTCCCACCTTGTCTCCCCCTCCTGCCCCACATCTCTCCCTCCTGCCCCGTGTCTCCCCCTCTTCCCACATTGTCTTACCTGCTCCTACCCCGTGTCTCCCCTCCTATCTTCCGTGTCTCTTCCTCCCGTTCTTCGGTCTCCCTCTCGTCCCCCCAACCCGGTAAGCCCCCCTTCCCCCCAGGGAGCAGGAATGGACACCTTCAGGAGATGCTCAGGGCGCTAAGGTGTTTCGATGTTTCTCTTCCTTGTGGGTGATGACTGTGCCTGGAGCCCTATGCCCCCCAACCCCGTCTCTCCCCACCCCATCCCACCCTATCTCCTCAGGCCTCCTCTCTCCTGGCGGGCGTTGTAGTTCGGTTTTGCCGGTTTGGACCCAAGTCCTCACCTCCCAACTCTGCATCACCTGTCGGCTTTGGCTCACTTTTCTCCCTCTCTTCCTTCCCTTGGAGACTGATCTCCCGACTCAAGCCTAGGAGGGCTTCACATCTTTGACTGGTTTATTTCACTGGGCTATAAACAGAGTTCCAATCAACCAGTGTTCATTAGGTGCCTGCCTAGATACAATCCCTGCCTTCTCGGAGCTGCCAGTCCACAGAAGGAACAGGCAATGCCAGAGTGTGGCATTCTACCACATCTAAAAACCCAGACTGTCCCGAGTGCATCCACCTGGTGGTAGCCAGTTTTAGCTCCTTCTTAAGGCCATAAAATTGGAGAGTTGGGAGGGAACCCCAAGATCATCTAGACCAAACCCCACCTGATTCTGTTTCAGTTATATACATTTTCAGAGGAAATGATTGCAGGGAACTGCCAGGCAGTTGTGTGTAGGTTTTCAAGATGTGCACTTAGTGGCTCCCTGAGGGGAAACCTGATGTGCTGATCCAAAAAAAGATGTCCACACCTCTAGCACTACAAGTTCAATTGACCTGGAGTGAGTGTGCAGCCTTCTGTCATGGATTACTGTGCTTTTTTCTGTTCTATTTCATGACATGAGGATTCCTTGTGTGTGCTGTTCCAAGGAACAACTACCAGGATGTGGTCCAAAATCCATCACCACTAGTGGAAAAACAAATGTGATTCAATACTTTTTACTGGGCCAGATGGGTCATCTAAGTATACAAGGACAGCACTTTTAACATATGGAATTAAAGATGTTAAAAGCTCAGAACCCTTTATTGGTGTGCTATACAGGGTGACTTGAACATCTGAGTACAGTTAAAGACTTTTTGAGACACTCTTGTATGTAAATACAGTTAAAGGGGGATGGTTGGGTAAGTGGGCTTATAGTGATTTAAAAAAAAAAAATAACAACAGTAGACATTGAAGGAGAGCAAGAGTTTTAGACCTCTCTGGTGAACTTAAAATGTATTATTTTATATTGTAATTACTTGTGGTTTTGCTTTTTTCTTTGCTTTGCCTATGCCTCAGTAACTGGCAAGTCAAATCAACAGGCATCTATTAAGTGCTTACTATGTGCCAGCCCTAGTACTTATATTTGAATATTTGCTTAGTTGAGATTAGATTTAAATGCTTATTTTAAGATAGTATCGGTAGAACATGAAATGATACATGTAGATTTGTGGTTTCAGCCCTGTGGATACTCCCTCAATGATGCCAATCTCAACTCAGGTAGGCAATCCAGGCCTCTCTCCTGCTCCTGTTCAAGTCAGGGTCCAGCTCACTCGATGACCATGAACGTTATTAGCTCAAAATGTAGGCACTGATGGACACAGGGCTGTGGGCCTAGCTCTGCCCCTCTCATAGTCCAGACCAGAGGCTTTCTTCCTTCCCAGTGTGGATAGACCATTGATCTGAACTCTTTTGAGTAATGATGTATCTCTTTTAGGGAGCTCTGCAGTGTTCTGGGGCTTAATGCAGCCAGCACCAGTATTAAGTGGTATCACTGCTATCCCATGAACTGGAAGAATACATTCTCTTGCAATCCCCAAAATCAATCAACAAACATTTGTTAGGTGTCTATGTACCAGACCCTATAGTAGGAGCTGTGGCTACAAAGATGAAGTTGAAATAATTGCTAGTCTTGGGGAACTTACTTTCTATAAAAGCATCTCCCTCCATGCATTTGCACTGACCACGTCCCATGTCTGAAATGTGTAACCTCTAACTCTAGAATTCACCAGCTTCCTTCAAGGCTCAGCTCAAATCTGACCTAATAGAGACCTTCCCTGGTCCCCCCTAGCTTCTAAGTGCATTTCCCCTAAGATTACCTCCCACCTGGTCCATATATATCCTGTATTTACCTTCACGTGTCTTCCACATTAGAATGTGAGGTCCTTGAGGGCAGGGACCATATTTGGGGGTATCGGCTCCCTGCTTGCTGTTTGTTCTTTCATTACCAGTGCAAAGGTCCCTCTCCTTTGTGGAGAGTACAGATTAAGCAGCTCTGCCTTCTCTCAGTGTCAGTTATCACTGTCCTATCCACCTCAAGCAGAAGTCTCATCCCTTCTTCAGTCTTCCTTTTTCTCTCAGCATAACTTAAAAAAATCTCTGTCATTCTTTAGCTTCCCCTGAAAGGCTCAATTCATTCTGAGCTTTGGCATTCTTGACACTTTTTTTTTTTTTACAGGACCATACAAACTCTTATATTCATTCTGTTACCCAGTCTTGCTTCCATCTTCTATAAAATCTAAGTTGGGTGCTGAGTTTCCTGCCCACCCACATTGATCTCTTCTGACAGATCCTTTTCTTCTTCCTCATTGCAATTGCTTCCCTTTCTGTTTTTGGAATTTAATTCCTTCCTGGGCCGACTTCCCCTGAAGCATTTTATTCCAAGGGATCTGACCTATGACACTTTTGAAATCTGCCTTTCCAATATTCAGGGTTCATGTCAGACTATACTTGCATTTCCTCCTTTATCACAGCCTCTAGGGTAGAGTGGATACTTCCCCACTCTGGGTTCCCATCATTTCCACCATAGCAACTGGTTCCTCTTTTAGTGAGAATCAGATCCAGAATAGAAATCCTTGTTAGTTCTTTCACCTGAAAGAAAGGATGTGGAAAGAGAAAAGAAGACAGCCCAGGACAGATCCTTGAGAGTACACATTTAGGGGTAGGCTATGAATATATCCGAGACTGAGAAAAATAGTCAAATAGTAGAAAAGTTTAACTTGAAATGTCATACAAAAGAGACTGGATTTTATTGTGGGGGCAAATTAAAACCACCCAGACTTTTTTAGTAGGGGAGTGGCAAGGTTAGACTTTTGCTTTAGGATTATTCAGTGGGTGCTGGATGGATTAGGGTGGAGAGATGAGACTCAGTGACGGCCTGAACCTGGGGCTGTCTAGGTAAGTAGAGACAAGGGGACAGAGAAGGGGACATGTTATGAAGGGAGGATCCAAAAGACTTAGCAATTGGTTGGTTGGTGGAAAGAAGAAGGGGAAGGAGAGGAAAGAGTCAGAGATGACTGAAGTTTCCTTCCTGGGTGACTTTGCACCCAGAAGTGCAAAAACTCACTACCAAATGACCACTGGGGATATTTTTCTCCCACACTGTTGACTGAATCCTTTTCCTAGCTCTACTAGAAGCACATTCCAGTAACCTAACTTAGTTGTCTAGCCATGGAATGAGGACAATACTGGTGAGTGGCAATTAACACTAATGATAGGGATAAATGTTGAACATGTAAATTAATATTTAGGTTAGAATGAAGTTATCTCTTTGTGATCCTTTATCTGATCAACAAAACTTGTCAGAGTTTGTTCGAAAAACTTTACTGGGAGATTTCTTTTTCATAGAAGTTTCTGGTCACTTATATGTAACTTTCTATGGTTAGGCTAAAAACATTGAATAGAGACTTTTAAAATTATTATAGTCATGGGAAGTTACATATTTATATGTGACTTTCAAATATATCTGTCTGGGTGTCTTATTTGTCGTTATGACACCTGGACTTTCATAAAAGTTTTTAAGATAAGATCGTGGTATCACAAATAGGTATGATTGCTGAAGAACATTATATCTTATGAGAAGACCAAGACCATTTTTTAAAGTAAAAATACGTTCTTTAAAAGTTGGCTTTGGGGGCAGCTAGGTGGTGCAGTGGATAGAGCACCAGCCCTGGATTCAGGAGGACCTAAGTTCAAATCCAGCCTCAGACACATAACACTTCTTAGCTGTGTGATCCTGGGCAAGTCACTTAACCCCATTGCCTAGCCAAAAAAAAAAAAAAAAAAGTTAGCTTTGATTACAAAATAGTAATGATGTACAAATGCAAAATGAAATAAATGCAAAATATTCCTCACTAATTATTTTAGTTATTATAAGAATACTTATAATTATTATGATTGTTATAAAAATGTTTCACAAAATAGTATTGTAAAGGAAAATTTTAAGTAGATTATTAGTAACTTTAATATTTAATAATGCTTAAATATAACTTCATAGTAAAATTTAAATGTTATATTGGGCAT